AGGGAGAAGCCATGAGTTAGGAGGCGGAAGAGGGGAAAGGGGAATGAGTGTCAGCAAGCCAGGGGACCCGTCGGTTAATGAAGATGTATGTCCACGAAGGGGAGAAGGAGGCGGAGAGAGAGACACACACACACACTGAAAGGGAGAGGGGGATAAGGAGAGAGAGAGAGAGAGAGAGAGAGAGAGAGAGAGTTCTGTCTGCCTCTCTCCCTCTCTCCCTTCCTCTTCAATAATCTGTGAAAGACACAAAAAGAGATAGCATCTTATCTCCACAAGAAAATAATTATCTCAACTCTAGGTACTGTAACAGCAATAGGGACAGCGAGACAAAAAATAACAAGAATTTTGAAATTAAGAAGAATCCATGTCATGTCCAGGGAGTATAAACACAAGATCAAACACGCAACTCTGAATGAGCTGCCTTTTTCCCCCAAACCGGCTCTGACTTGGAAAAGCCCGGATATGTGCCTCTTAATAGAACCCGGAGCTCTGTGAGACGCATTCACAGGCCCAGCTGTGTAAGAACAAGAAGCGCACTGCCATTACATAAGGCACGTTTGGGAATATAAGGTGCAGCAGGATGAGGATGCACAGGTGAAGTAGACGGATGCAGGCTGCTACAGACAGAGAGGCAGTGACCCAGGGAGGCACTGATCTGGAAGGCACCCTCACTCACTCACCAGGCAGCGCGGACCGCAGAGCCCCAGACACCGGCTCCCCCGCCGCCTGTCTGTCCGTGAGATCCAAGCACTGCTCCGCTCCTCTCTTTCTGTCTTCTTTGTCTGTTATCCTGAGCTCAGCCCAATATCACCGTCCAGGGACAGTCGAGGGCATCAGGCCCGGAATACTGCACCGCAGCCTCACTGCGATCTCCGCTGGTAACGCATCGTGCATCTTCTCTTGGGGCTTGACGTCCCGGTCCTGTCGTCGCTCACTTACAGCGCTGTCGCCGGAGCGGGATTCGCGTCCTCCGACAGAAAATGGGATGGCGTAAACACTTCCGTATGCGCCGGCTTAAAGGGGACGCGCCGTACAGAGGGAGCAGGCTGGAGCGGTCATGTTCCTCCCGACACCGGCCGGCACCTCCGGGTGCTGCCGCCAGGCGGTCTGCTCATGCCACATCGCCGTTAAATCTCCGTTTTAACCGCTACTTCTGCTCTTTTTGACTCACAGATGGCAATAATCATTCCCCAATGAAGAAATAACTTCTGAACTGCAGTGCAATATATGCTTCGATCCATAGACTATTTTCATGTGTGAAAATGATCCTGTCAGACAGAAGTGAACCCCCCCCCCCCCATCCCTTTCTATCATTTGTATTGTAGAACTCCACTTTACTATGTAATTATAAGTTTCTTGTGTTTTGGTCATTGTGGATAAACATTATAGTGCTGGTCAGGACCAGCCTGCTCTATAGGCAACTGCATAGGGCGTTATTTAACTTGGGGACCAAAAGAGTGAGTGAAAAAGAATCAGAAGAAATAGGCCTACCCGTGACTGCATTCTGTGACACTACGGTCATTTACACTAGTTTTTTTTGCTACTTTTCTTGTGAAACTACCATTAAATTTTGAAGACAAATCACAATATAATATATATATATATATATAATCATAATATAGTTCACAATATTTTTTCTCTTGCCTCTGAAATGTAGCAGTTTACTTGACGGGTCACAAATAATATAGTATTATCCATCCATCCATCCATCCATTTTCTGAAACCGCTTATCCAGTTCCATCCCGGAGACTACGGGCGTGAGGCAGGTATTATACTGGTACTTATGTATTAATTAACCACAAGCTACTTCTGTCAGGTGTGGGGACGGGACAGAACACTGGACCCGGATTGCAGGAGACCATGTTTATTTGATACAAGCGTACAGAACCCAAGGGATGAGGCAGAGGCGTAGTCGGGGACGGAGCGGAGGAGTCGATAGCCGAGGGAGTCAGTCCTACACAACACGCTACACAGGGAAGCGGGGCACACAGGAGGATGAGATGGGTCGGGGCGGCAGGCAGGACAGCAAGAGCAGGGAAAAGAATCAATAGACAGAGGTTAAACGCTCAGTAAAGCTCATTCCAGGATGGCAACAATACTTCGCGATCTGTGCGAAGTAGCGATCGTCTTTTGGCTGCAGCCGAATTGCTTGCAGCTGGTGTGCGGCGTCTATGTGGGCGTGGCTGCTGGTGCGAGCGTGACAACTTCTTAGATACTGATCTCATATTAATTTATCATTAATGAATCGTACTGCATGTTTTGTCTCAAGCAGTTACTATATTTGTTACTATATTATTAGTTCTGTAAACCTTTGTGAACTACATAAGGACATACTTAAGAAACTACTGAAGGAACAAGTCATGAATAACACAAGTTAAAAACTGATCTCATCCCATCGTTAATGAATCTTTCATCCCAAGCAGTTACTGTGTTTGTTACTATATCTGTTAATTCTGTAAACTTTTGTGAACTACTGAGGGAATTACTGAAGGAACAAGTAATGAATAACACATGTGAAATATTGATGTCATGTTTCTTCATCATTGATGGATCATCTTTTATCTCCAAGTAGCAACTAGGCCTGTATTTGATCATGATTTGTTCATAATTTGTACTTCAGTATTAACTGAGTCATTATTAAGTATATGTACCTCGTCAAGTAAAGTGTTAACAATATTCAGTTTTGAATATCTTCCGCCCACTGATTCTTAAAAAAAAACACATGCTACTTTAATAAAACTTCATCATATATAAACACATAGTCCCGTGACAAAGGGCAACCATGCATCTGCCAAGATTGTTGATGATATTGCATCTTGCATATGCGTAGCGTTAATTCCATGCATAGGTGCACAAACGATGCATGGAATCAACGCAGGATATGCATGGCAGCCATGATGCATAAGTGGACACCTTGGGTTGAGTGGAGTATAAACCCTCTTTATAGTCTATGCCAGGGGTCACCAACATGGTGCCCACAGGCACCGGGGTGCCCCCAAGGACCACATGAGTCGCCCGCGGACCTGTTCTAAAAATAGCACAACTCGCCAGTGAGCAACATCTAAAATTCAATTTTATCCTGTTGCTATTCTTCTTTAATAACAATATGAAAATGACAATACCTAAAAAAAAGCATTTAAAACATGATTATTATACATGAAGTTTAGATAAGTTTAGGAGGGCGTTTCAGACTGGTAGCCCTTCGTATGGCTCAGTACCCATGAAGTAGCTCTCAGTTTCAAAAAGGTTGGTGACCCCTGGTCGATGCCATAGCCTATCGAACCCCTCCCCTCCCAGAAATGTAACTACAGACATCAGACTACATCATCTACACAGAACTGTAAATTGATTCCAAGACTGAATATGTCACAGCGGTGGGACAAGACTGTCCCATTTCAAAGGCTCCTTCAAATGTGGCCTAGAAATGCTTTCTTCACCCAATGGATCCTTCGCAGTCCAACCTTTCCCAAGAGTCATTGTGTGGATTTTTAGAAGGACCCAGTCTACAAAGGCTACATAGACCACATCCTACAAAATCCCTGCGTCTGAAATCAGGGGCTGCATCCCTCAAAGGAAGCAGTCTACGAAGGCATACCAGGGTGCAGCTCCTGAACTGGGACCCAGCCCAAAAGTTCCTGGTTCAGGAAAAAGGTCCTGGTTCCTGAAAGAAGTTCCTGCGGTATGAAAGCACCTGTTGGTCAAATAGCCTGGAAGGAAGGAAACACAATGCTTAATTTTGCCAATTGTATGAGTACTCATATACAGAAATGCTTTAGTTTTTACTTATAACTTATTCTTCGTGGGGATTCACACAGAGGTGAGAGTGAGGCTTGGGGTCAGAGCTAACGTCAGACCTTCTGATCATGAGTGTCTACCTGCAGAGCCACATGCCACCGGCAGGGGGCAGTAGAGCCTCGTCTCCCCACTTTATGGCCTCAGGCTGGTTTTAATAAAGAAGGGAGAGAGACCGAAAGGAAAGGCATGGATGACGATCAGTCACCCTGATGGGATCTCTGTATATGATAAAAGGGTCTTGGTAAACTTTAGTTTGCATCACACTTAAGTAAAATTCTTGCTAATTAATACTGAGAATCATTGCTACAGATGTCATTTCTCTGTCCCACTGGACAAACAAAAAGCTGGAAGTCCCTGCAGACTCTACTTACTTTGTCTCTTAAGTGAAAGGCTACCACTTCAGCCAAAGCCTTCTGACATCACTTGAACCTTCTATCCATGACTGTCCAGTTAAACCCCCGGGATCTGGGTGGTTCCTTATGTGTTCCACTATACAGTCGATAAATTAAAGTGATTATTAGGACAGACCATTGAATAGTTTGTGTTACCTGCTTTTATAATAATATGTGCTAACGCCCTGGACGGGATGCCAGTCCCTCGCAGGGCACAAGGCTGAGGACACCCTGGACGGGATGCCAGTCCCTCGCAGGGCACAGGGCTGGGGACACCCTGGACGGGATGCCAGTCCCTCGCAGGGCACAGGTCTGGGGACACCCTGGACGGGATGCCAGTCCCTCGCAGGGCACAGGGCTGGGGACACCCTGGACGGGATGCCAGTCCCTCGCAGGGCACAGGGCTGGGGACACCCTGGATGGGATGCCACTCTCTCGCAGGGCACAGGTCTGGGGACACCCTGGACGGGATTCCAGTCCCTCGCAGGGCACAGGGCTGGGGACACCCTGGACGGGATGCCAGTCCATCACAGGGCACGCAATCATAGACTATGAGCCAATCAGCCTGACTGCGTGTCTTTGATGTGTGAGAGGAAACCAGAGCACACAGAGACACAGGAAGAACAAACCCCACAGGCCAGCAGTCTGGTAGTTAACACCCCACTAGTCACTGCTGATCCCCTGGGAATCACGTGAGCCCCCCCTGGCAATGCCATCAGCACACTTTCAAAGACGGCCATTCACACACTGCATCCCCCCCCCCCCCCCCCCCCACGCTCGGTGAAGCCTAAACTGCCACTTCTTCTGCCGTCTCACGTCACGGCTTTCATCTCCAGTGGCTCTCCCATCCTTCCCTCTCGCCCTGCCCCTGTGGCGTCCTGGCTTTGCCTGCCCGCTCAGCTCTTCCGCATGCTTTCACCCTGGATCCCTGTCGTCTGCAGTGGCCGTTCATGCCAGTCCCTCCTTCTTCTCGCTCTGCTGTGTTCGGTGGTCTCCCAGTGAGGTTCGGCCAGGTCTTTGCTCACATTCATTCAGGGTTGAGCAATGCACTGTGAGGTTAAATGGTATCTTTCTTAATACTGTGGGGATGTTGCAGTCCTGGGACCAGAGATTGCCCCACAGGGAGATTAACCTCTGTTAAGACACACACTCAGTGTTACTGGCACAAATGCGCCCCCCCTCCCCATGCCGCATGCACACCCTCACAGCCCACTGAGGGCCACACACCTCAGCGCCACTCTACTTACACGCCCCCACAGGTTGCGGAGACAGAGGGGTGTCCTCACACTCAGGTGGGGTGAGGTGCGTCCCCCTCATGAACCTGTTGCTCTGTCCCTTCTCCGTCTGCAATCGCACCCACAGGAAGGCTCTTGCACTCCCTCCTGATGGTATCTGGCTCTCGGTCCTATACTGTGTTGAAACATCACCCATCCCACTGTGGGTAGCCCTACTCTCTTCCCACAAAAAACACCCATGTCATTGTGTCTGTTCGTAACAACAGACAATGGGGGGAGGGGGGGGGCTTGCACCTTTTGATAACCCCATTTACTGAAACTAAAAAACCGACACAAAGACTATTCACATCCACCTGAATTCACCTTTTAGGACACATTTACGTTTGGTTATATAAAGAAAATACACTGTTCCTGCAATGATTATGTTAATTTATGTCTATTTTTTGTTTTGTTAATGCCTTTTCTTAACTTGATTTTGTATCCATGTTATATATTTCATGTCAGCAGCAGAAACCCCCCCTGGATGTGGCACAGAGCCACTGGGACCCTTCAGATGACATTTATACACTAAGGAGTGACTGGTTACCACAGACGGCTTTGAAGTCTGGGAGCAAGATCAGCAAGGCAGCACATTTCTGCAAAAGCAACTCTTCTGATATAATCGGAATAACAACAATATTAAAATAAATTAGGTGATTTATCAATAAGAATTAAAAATTCAACTGTTATTACCAGTGTGAATGCAGAGTGTATAGTCAAGTCACAAAAACCAGAAGCTAAAAAAATACATTAAGACAGATGTATCACATACTATCAACAAAGGCAATTTAGAAATAGAAGTTTTATTTTATTGAAAAAGCTGAGGTTCGCAATCCAGTTTAATAACACAGAATGTTACACAGAAGATCGTCGTTTCTCCATAAAAAATGTACAGCAGAAAATAACAAATAATTGAACTAATAATTAAACACCACATATTTGCATATAAAATTAAGTGTAAAAATAGAAATGAACAGTGCTTTCCAATTGGTCCCCTAAATCCAACCCTAACTCTTATAGCCTACCCAAAATACAAGTCTTGTCTTCCTATTCTAAATCCATATTAATAACTCTCATCCTCTGCGAGATTATTATCTCTGCGCTGCAGGTGGCGCTGTGACAGGATTTGCTTAAGAGTGTCCAGTTCCTGTGTCAGCTGCGTGATTAGTGCCTGCAGTCCGTGGTTCTCCTCCTGCAGCTGGATGGCTCTTTGCTGGGTGAGCTGCACGCGGCGCTTTGCCTTGTCGCGGCTCTTCCTCACTGCGATGTTGTTCCTCTCGCGGCGTAGGCGGTACTCCATGCTGTCTTTGCTCAGGCTCTTCTTCTGCGGGGGCTGCCGGAGGAGGCCAGGGGGCGGGGGTGGGAGGAAGGGGGAGAACTCCTGGCAGAGAGGGATTGAGGTGGGAAACAGGGTGGGGGGGCAAATCCAACATAAAATGCATTTTATAGAACATTTCGGGACAACATGGGTGAGGTGACGTGACCGACACGTGAACGGGGGGACACGAGGGCATACCTGGTGCAGCACGTGAGCGGCTCTGTCACTGGCAGCGCCACTCAGGCATGGGGAGTATGGGAGATAGGGGTAACCCATGATCTGCCCCCCCATCCTGTCCGTGTCCATCCTCACCACTCCCTGAAGCCCTGGAGGCTGGCCATACAACAGCCCGTCACCTTGCGGAGCGTGGCTGGACAGGGGGCCGAGGGTCGAGCCCGACGAGTCAGGGGTCAGAGCTGAAGGGGTCCCGTGGAAGGAGGGATGATTGAGGGAAGAGAACGGGAGGGATGACAAGGTGCACTCATCCATGACGGAAGACTGAGGGTCCGACATCTGCCAGAGAGCCAGACGGACGAGATACAGACCTTTAATGAGCAAACGGAGTGACGGCAATAATTAAAATACCCATCTCACTCTCACACCCGCAGGAAGTGTCAGAGTTCGACTACAACACTCGACATAATTCTGTCACGCATTCATTTACCTCTAAAAGGTTTGACCCTATTTAACGTTTTAAAATATTTTGACTTTAAATTATACATTTTTGCATTATTATTCTTTGCCCTAGAAGAATGTTTTAAATGTATGTCAGAACTGTCAATAGATACACAGCCATCTACATCACTTCAAAAGTACACCAGTTAGATAAATAAACTCACAGTCTTTTTCACGTCACACTTCACTACATAAAGGCAGTTGATTGAACATGGAGCTGACAAACCAAGCCACCTCTTCCTCCGAAGCTCTCGCTTTTCTCTCCTTGGGTTCGGTCGCTCTCCTTTCTCCCAGGCTGCCTCTTTCACTCTGTCACTTTCTATCTTCCTCACTCTGTCTTTTGCTTTTCTCAAATGCTGTTGCAAGACAGGTACTCAACTGTTCATAACTTCCCCAAACTGCACCCCCACCCCCTAAAACCACTTGCAGTTACTTCTGTACCAAGTAGTATTACCAGGTCCAAGATCCTCTATGTCTGTCTGTGTGTGTGTCTCTCTCACCATCTGTGTCTCAACCACTTTTTGATTTGACTTTTACGGGCCCTGGTTTCCTGTCTCTTGTGTATCTTTCACTATGTCTTCAGCTTTTTTGCCTATGTGATTATATAGCATCAGGGGATTTTCTAATAATGAAAAGATCAGGGGATAAGTCAAGTTTACCTGAGACTTGACTTGTTTTTGTTTTTTTTTGAAGGAAGACTGGCATCGCGACTAAAATACTCTGGAGTTAAATTGGCCCTAATGACATCCATGCATAGCATGTTTCCTCCAAGTGCCCTGGTTCCCTCTCACAATCAAACACACACAGTCAGTCACTGGCGTCTCCAAACTGTCCTGAGTGCACATTTTGATGACTGTGTGCATGTGTCTGCCCTCAGATGGCATCCTGCCTAGGGTGTCCCCCAGCCTTATTCCGTGTGCTGCCAGCGATGATCTCCAGGTCTCCCCATGACCCCAGACAGGATAAGCAACTGAGAGGGACTGATGGATGTATGGCATCTGACACTATATTGCCAAAAGTATTGGGACGCCCCTCCAAATCATTAAATTCAGGTGTTCCAATCACTTCCATAGCCACAGGTGTATAAAATCAAGCACCTAGGCATGCAGACTGCTTCTACAAACATTTGGGAAAGATTAGGTCGCTCTCAGGAGCTCAGTGAATTCAAGCGTGTTACCGTGATAGGATGCCACCTGTGCAATAAGTCCATTCGTGAAATTTCCTCGCTACTAAATATTCCACGGTCAACTGTTAGTGGTATTAAAACAAACTGGAAGCAATTGGGAACAACGGCAACTCAGCCATGAAGTAGTAGGCCATGTAAAATCACAGAGCGGGGACAACGCATGCTGAGGCTCAGTGTGCAGAAGTTGCCAACTGTCTGTGGACTCAATAGCTACAGACCTCCAGACTTCGCAGGGCCTTCAGATTAGCTCAAGAACAGGGCGTAGAGAACTTCATGGAATGGGTTTCCATGGCTGAGCAGCTGCATCCAAGCCTTACATCACCAAAGCTTCGGATGCAGTGGTGTAAAGCGCGCTGCCACTGCACTGGAGATATGTTCTCTGGAGTGACGAGTCACACTTCTCTGTCTGGCAATCCGTTGGATGAGTCTGGGTTTGGCAGTTGTTTCTCAGGGGTTGGGCTTGGCCCCTTAATTCCAGTGGAAGGAACACTTAATGCTGTAGCATTCAAAGCCATTTTGGACAACTTCATGCTCCCAGCTTTGTAGGAACAGTTTGGGGATGGCCCCTTCCTCTACCAACATGACTGTGCACCAGTGCACAAAGCAAGGTCCATAAGGACATGGATGAGCGAGTCTGGTGTGGAGGAACTTTACTGGCCTGCAGACCCCTGATAGAACACCTTTGGGATGAATTAGAGCGGACACTGCAAGCCAGGCCTTCTTGTCCAACATCAGTGCCTGACCTCACATATGCTCTCCTGGAAGAATGGTCAAAAATTCCCATAATCACACTCCTAAACCTTCTGGACAGCCTTCCCAGAAGAGTTGAAGCTGTTATAGCTGCAAAGGCTGGGCCAACTCCATATTAAAGCCTATGTATTAAGAATGGGATGTCATTAAAGTTCATGCGTGTGTAAAGGCAGGTGTCCCAATACTTTTGGCAATATAGTGTATCTCAGAATACAACATATAGGCCTATGCACTCATCCAAAGTAATTATCTCTATTATGATATGTTTCCAAATATAGTAAATGGCTTTTTAAAATTAAATGTAGTAACGCGTAATATGTAGGTAGTTGTATAACGTATCGATTTGACACAAGTAAGTGATCTTCATTGTACTTAAAGAAACAATCTAATTTGAATGATCGTGAATCACTTCAACGTCGCTTTGGACTAAAGGAATGCAAATGTAAATGAAGCAAATGTAAACGTAAGACGTTAATGTAAAAGTGCATTTTCCAAGCGCAGCTCAGTGCAGCGAAAACATCATGATACAAATAGTCCGGACCTTTTTGATCCTTTTCAGTTGCCGTCCTCTCTTGTCGGGATCGCTCAAAATGGCGTCTCCCTCACGGGAAAACGTGAGTTTATGTCATTATTTCTATGTTAAATTCGGTATATGGTAATTTGTAATGTTGTGTGAGTGTAGAAAGTATTTAATATATGATCAAGTGACTTCGTGTTTATTCTTCGATCGATCGATTTGGGCAATAGTTCTGTAGAAAGGTTTGTGTAACTTGAACTACTGAATTTAGGCACTGCTTTACCGGTTACCGAATAACCCATGATTTCACTGTAGTGTTGTTAATCACTATTATTGGATAACCTTATAACGATAGTAATAACATTTACTATTATTATTAGCAATAAATTTTTATGACCGTTGGACAAAACCGCAAATGTACACAGTAACATTGCCTTTCCCAGGATGTGGTACTAAGCGATTTGCCCGCCGCTGTCCGTTTGCTGAACAACCTCACTGAGCAGGTTTGTCTTTATTACATCTATACTGGATGGGGTAGTGCTACGGAACAGCTCTCTTCTTATACAGTTAGCTCATTTTGTGGTACCTTAGATTAAGGTACTGAAATATTTGAAATTGCACGAATTGTATGAACGTTAAAACTATTCTTGTGGGTAAATCTGAGATTATCTCATAAAGTATTTACTAAGCATCTATTAATGAAATTCGTTAGCTTGCCTTTTTAAATGTGTAAAGGTATTTATTTTACTGTGGTTGACTTTTTCTTCATTTTGATGTAAGGTGGCTGCAGTGACAAATCACGTCCAGGGTTTGCTAAACAGAGTTAAAGATGGAGTGTACCCTACCAACAAGGTAATAACATATAACAACTCTAAAGCTGTCACTGCTCAGATTATTTTTTCCTCTTAGTTTTGTTTGTAAATGGAATTCCATAGACAGTTAGTGTCATGTTAGTGGATGACTTGAAGTGATCCATATACAATCATCCATAGTTCTATTAACATTTTGGATGTTTAATAAGGAAGATTTGTATATCTGTTTCATTGTAGCCAGTATTAATGTATTTAATGGTAAATTTGCAGTATGACAAGCACCTGTGACAAATGTCTGTCTCTGTTATGACATTTCTCATGTGATCCCTGGGTCTCTTTCTTTAGGGGTTGTCTTTTCTGGACCTGCGCTACCAGCTACTGCTCTTCTACCTGCAAGACGTGACTCATCTTGTGAATGTGAAGACGGAGGGAGGCAGCGTAAGGGAGAGTGCTGCCCTCCACAGGCTGGTCACCGTCAGGACAGTAAGGAGTCTCTCTCCTCCCTATCAAGCTATGGCAGCATGTGCAGAATTTTAACTCGCCTTAAGCGTGCTCTCTGTGAGATATGCAGGCATCACTCTGCTGAGACATTCCATCTTTCACCCTGTTTCTTTTCCTTGAAAGGTTCTTGAGAAGATGCGTCCTTTGGACCAGAAGCTAAGGTACCAGGTGGACAAGCTGGTCCGTACAGCACTGACTGGGAGTTTAGGTCTGTTATCTTTCTGTGTTGCTCTGTTAGAATACTCCTTACTGTTTTTTTTACTGTTAACAAACATATTTCATGAAATGCAAGTGAGAATTCTGTCCTATTTTTTTTTTTTTAGCTGAAAATGATCCTCTTCATTTTCGTCCTAATCCTGAGAATCTCATCAGCAAAGTAAGTTGTTTTTCCGTGAGTTGTTGTTTGTGTAAAATCAGAAAGCCTTTCTTTACAATGTAAACATTGTAATGTTATTTGTGTTCATATAACTTTTTTTTCTTAGCTCAGTGAGTCAGAATCTGAGGAAGAGGGAGCAGAGGGTTCTGAAAAAAGAGAGCCCTCTGGTGGCAACAAAAAGTATGTGCCACCCAGAATTGCCCCGATGCATTATGGTAAGGTTTCCCCTGTCTCTTGACACATTTGTCCTGTTTTCCTAGGAATGTGCATACTGTCATTTGGAAGCCGCCTGTGTATTTCAGTCCAAGTAACACAATGCAAATTAGGAAACCACTGGAATTCACTTAAGTCTTTCCCCACCCCGCCTGCAGAGGGAGACATGACAGAGGATGACCGGCAGAAGGAGAAGGAGGAGAAGCGGCGGCGTGCTGCCCTGCACAGCTCTGTGATCCAGGAGCTCCGACAGCAATACAGTGACGCTCCCGAAGAGATTGGGGATCGCCGGGACTTTCAGACGGAGCGGCAAAGCCGCGAGGAACTGCACAGGTTCTGAGCCAGCGACCCCACCCCTTTGAACACACGGGGTCACATGGGTATGTTTGTGCGTGAAGGCAGAGTAATTTACGAGAATAACTCCTGAAAACAGGAAGGAGTATGAGGAGTCCATGATGGTGCGTCTGGCCGTGACCCGGAGGGAGAGGAAGGCGCGGAAGAGGGGGATAATAGGAATGTCCTCTCAGCTCAGCAGCATCACCCGATTCAGTGACATCACTGCCCTGACGGGTGAGGAAGGACAGGTAAGCTTGGAATGGCGCCACGCAATACGGCACTACTGGTCTGTGAACCCGGTTCTGATTACCCATCCTCTGCCCCAACCCCCCAGGCACCGGACTCTTCTCGCCCCAAGAAAAAGAAGAAAATAATGAAGAAAACAACAAAAAAGAGAGGTATGGGATTGGCCGGTCTAACTCATGAAATGGTGCTAAAGCCATATTGATTCATAGGGGCCTGGTTTAATTTCTCTTCCTTCAGCTTTCAGACGGCACCGATAGACTGCCAGGTGGGGGCCAGGCCCACTATGCACAGCCCAGCAGGGGGAATTAAAATGAAGAGGGATGATTTTTTAAAAGAAAATAAACGTTTTTCTTTTGATGAAAATGACTCAATTCCTTATTTCACCACTTTCTGTCCATCCATACATTCTACTTAGTAACAACCCAGTGGGTTGCAGCCAGAAACACCACTAGTCTACCTCTGCGTGAAGGCATCAAATGAAACTGAGGACAGAAGAGAGCTTCAATTTAATAATCACAAGTGAATAGTCACTTTTTATGGGGATAAGTCCAATTGTGGAGAGGGGCCAAACCATAGCCAGTGAGGGAATTCATGCTCAGGAAAAAAGGGGACAAACGTCATTTACAACATTTTATTTTTTTTCCTAATTACATTTTTAATGGGTTAAAAAAAAACAAAAACTTAAACCCAAGCACTCCCCTGCAAAGAAAAAAAACCTCTCCAATGCCCCCCTTACCCACCCCCTTTCT